GTTGTGCTAATTGTGCAAATAAGTCATTTGAAGATTATCTTATCCTGTATTCATGGAAATATAGCATTCTGTTCATAAGATATAATAACTGCATTTTATTCTGCACTAGTCTGGTCATATCAGGAGAGTTGTGTTCAATTCTTTCAAGAAAGGAGATAAACTGGAGCATGTACACAGCAGGACGTTCAGAATGGTGAAAGAACTGAAATAATCCTATCAGAAAATGATTAAAATTATTGGACAAATTATGTTGGGATCCCAGTTGAATCCAGCTAATAAAAAATGAAGCCTTCATTTTTTTAAGGAGAGTAAATTTAACTCTTATCATGTAACATTTTGGGAATTGGTAAGAAGACAAAAGAGAATTAGAGAATATTTAAAATGCCATTGTTATTCATTTTACATTGCTTTATTTATTGGAGGTTCTTATTTAATTTTGCTTACTATACTGCTAAGTACCATGTTTCCTTTAACCTTATTTACAAGATAAAATCTAAAATGAAGGAATGAATTCATGTGTATACATTAATAACCAATCTTTGGGAAGGTGTTTCAATTCTGAGAAAAGAGATTATAATTATTGTTAAGTGTAGCTCTATAAGGATAGCATAACAGCAATGTAATCTCTGCACAAAACAGTTACATTCTTCCATCTCTATAGATTTTAGGGATTTTTAATTATTTTTTTTAATCAATTATCACCGTCATGCCCAATGTAATGAAATATGCAGATGACCTTGGGGAAAGAAGGAAAGAGATGCTGTACAGGAAACAATCAGTCAACAGCAACAATAACAACAATAATAGTAATAATAATAATAAAAATAAAAAGTTGGAAGGGACTTGGAGGTCATCTGGTCCAACCCCCTGCTCAGGCAGGAAACCCTATACCATTTCAGACAAATGGCTGTCCAGTCTCTTCTTAAAAACTTCCAGTTCTGGAGCATTCACAACTTCTGGAGGCAGGTTGTTCCACTGATTAATTGTTCTAACTGTCAGGAAGTTTCTCCTTAGTTCTAGATTGCTTCTCTCTTTGGTTAGTTTCCATCCGTTGCTTCTTGTCCTGCCTTCAAGTGCAAGAGAAATGTGCTGGTGGGAAGTTTGTTCCTTCAGACTTACAAGATTCTGTTAATTCATCTAGTCATGTTTCCGGTCCAGTTTACTTGTGAATTCAGAATAATCCTTGCCTTAATTGTCTCTCATTTATTTAAAAATACAATTGGAATTTTTTAGCTAATTACCAACCCATCAGCACTGTTAGCAAGATATATGCCAAGCACCTTGCTGTTAAGAACTTGGATTGGATGGTTCACAGGCCATTGACTAAAGAACAAATCATATTTCAAACAATCTTTATATATGTTCTGAAGGCTACTTAATTGTTCTCACTGTTAGGAAATTTCTCCTTAGTTCTAGGTTGCTTCTCTCCTTCTGCAGTGAGCAACCTCCTTGCATGCTTCCTAAAAGCTTGTATAAATTAGTATTGCCCTAGGTATGATTTTTGGGTAGCAAACATCACTGATCACAGTAAAATATATTTTTGAGCCAGGGGTTTTCAAACATTTTGGGCTGTGAATCATCTCCTGAACCCCATGAAATGGCAGCTGTGACATTTTTCATGGAAAATAGTTCCTACCCTTTTCACTATACCTTAGAAAAAAATGCCATGGATGCCCCAAGATGAATTTCTCTTCTCTTCTCTTCTCTTCTCTTCTCTTCTCTTCTCTTCTCTTCTCTTCTCTTCTCTTCTCTTCTCTTCTCTCCTCTCCTCTCCTCTCCTCTCCTCTCCTCTTCCTTTTTTGCCCTTAATCTCTCATGGAACTCCATCAAGTTATTCTAGAACATGCAATTTCTGCAGTACAGAAATGTGTTTGTTTTCAGCAATGAGGCCAGGATCATACAATTATACTTAGGTGTTCCTCAGCTACTCAGGTGGCCTCTATTCAGATCAGCTTAGCTTTAGAAGAAAAAGCTCCCATGAGCTTTTAAAACAGCGGTTCTCAATCTGTGGGTTGTGACCCCTTTGGGGGGTCGAATGACCCTTTCACAGGGGTCGCCTAAGACCATCAGAAAACACATATTTCTGATGGTCTTAGGAAGCGAGACACCATTTATAAAGCTTTCAGCAAGCTGTTTCCAAAGCTAGGGACAAAGCTAGAATTCAGAAATAATCACCCATTCAAAGCCACACAAGACATGGGGGGGGGGGAGAAAAAGAAGAAAGAACGAGTGGAATTAAAAGTACTTCTCCTCCTCTCCTCCAGTGAGGGGGCTTTTTCCTGCGTCCCACGCGCATTTTTCAAGGGAGTGGGGCATCAGCACCGGACATGTTCCACTCTGCACAGTCCCTTTGTAAAACCCCCAAAACAGCAAGGGTGGCACTTATTTTTCCCAGGCAAATGTGGCAAGTGATGGGCAGCGTGAAAGACAATGTAACACTCTGAACGTTCTGAGCCATTGTGACATTTCAAATCCCACGTGAAAGTACCAACCCACAAAGCTGCAAGCGCTGCGGCAGGGATGGAAAGGGGAACCCCTCTTCCAACTCTCATGCTGCTTAAGGCTTCACGTACAGTGAGCCACTGAGGCCATTTTCCTCCATGAGAAGAGAACACTTTCCCTCTGCTCCCTCCCACCCAAACTCTCAGCAGGGCTGAGAGACAGGAGCTCCTTGTGCGCCACTGCAGGTGGTTCTTAGGAAAATTACCTTCCTCTCTGACCATTTTGAAATAAAATAATAAAATATACTAAGGGCAATTTGGGATTCATTTCACTCCAAATGCAAAGCTGGGAGATGTAGAGAATGATTGGAAAGTTGTCATTTCTATAACTGAATATTTTTCAAATAGCCAGGAAGAAGACGATCCTAAAGAATAGAATAGAATAGAATAGAATAGAATAGAATAGAATAGAATAGAATAGAATAGAATAGAATAGAATAGAATATAGACCAGACCAGACCAAAGTAGAGTAGAGTAGAGTAGAGTAGAGTAGAGTAGAGTAGGGTAGGGTAGGGTAGAGTAGAGTAGAGTAGAGTAGAGTAGAGTAGAGTAGAGTAGAGTAGAGTAGAGTAGAGTAGAGTAGAGTAGAGTAGAGTAGAGTAGAGTAGAGTAGACCAGTAGAGTGAACCTTTTAGAGACTGAGTGCCCAAATTGCAACCCAAAACCCACTTATGCATTGTCGGGTGCCGGGTGGCCATTGGCTGGGTATGTCCCATTGGGTGGGTGTGGCTGCAGTGGTAATGGCAGACTGGGTGGGACTAAAAAGTTCAATCAATCAATTCTAACTTTGCAAGATCTTTTTTTTCCTGTGAGAAGTTGAAATTGACTGATTGAACCTTTTTTTTATTTTGCACATGGCGGTGGAGGCCTAAAGCGAAAAGGTTTTATAAAACCTAGCTGAAGGCTTAGGACTGGAGCAGCGGCACACATGCCCGCAGAGAGGGCTCTGAGTGCCACCTCTGACACCCGTGCCATAGGTTCGCCACCACTGGAATAGACAATATGGAAAAGAGAATAGAATAGACAATATGGAAGAGAGATTAGAATAGACAATATGGAATAGAGTAGAGTAGAGTAGAGTAGAGTAGAATAGAATAGAATAATAGAATATAATAGAATTTAATTATGTTCAATTTGTAACAATGAAAATACATCCTGCATATCAGATATTTAGATTACGATTCATAACAGTAGCAAAATTACAGTTATGAAGTAGCAATGAAAATAATTTTATGGTTGGGGGTCACTACAACATGAGGAACTGTATTAAAGGGTGGCGGCATTAGGAAGGTTGAGAACCACTGTTTTAAAACATGGGACTATTATCAGAGGAATACATTTCTTTCCTTTGGATGAAGTACGCGTAAAATTATTTTTCTTTCGGCTAGGCTTTGTTTTCAAGGCTAACTGAATCTTATTTAGTTTATTCCTTTGAGAGATTAAGAAACAAGGAAGATGAGAAAATAAGTCTTTTGTTTTACTCTCTGAGATCCTAGCTTCTATTCAAAACATTAATCTGAGCACTTGAGAGACAAGTTTTCCTTTCTCTCAGTCATTTAGTTAAATCAAATTAAAAGCATTCTATAGGTTTATGAAGTAAATTTTAACAATGATTTTAAGCATTTTATATTCTGGAGAATATAATTGGAATTTAAAATTAAATTGCTACTTTGACTTTAACTGGAAATTCTCTTTCATTAATGTTCTTTCTGAAATGTTTCGCTAAGTGATGTTTTATTTCATGTGTGTAATTTTCTCTGTAATACAAAATTGTTTGAATTACTATGTGAGTTTATTTAATTACTTAATACTCACTACAGTCAAGGTTAAGTCTCATGGCACTTGTAACAATAGAAAGCAAGTGACAGTGGCATAATTATAAGAGAATAAAACAAAGAAAAAGAGGCTAGAGGCTGGAAAAAGGAAGGGATTAGGCTCAAATGCAAATCCATTAGCTGTTTGTATATAAATATGCAAGAAACCTGAATTTAAACAGAACTCTGTAATCAGTGGTGGGATTCAAATATGTGAACAACCTGTTCTTTGTGTGGATTCCCCTTCCAGAAGTCCGTTCTGGGCCTGGGCAACAAAAATTAGCTACTGGTTCTACCGAACTGGTGCAAACTGGCTGAATCTCACCACTGTCTGTAATGTTACCTGGAAGCAGGTATAGTTAATAATTCGTGTTTCTCACTGGAGGCATCACTTCCAAACAGGAAATCATATAAATATTGCATTAGTAGGCAGGAATCTTCTAGTAATCTTTACAAAGGAAGAAATACAGCTTCACAGCTACATTTTAAATTTTATTTAATTTATTTTCTCTTTCTGTACAAACCTATTCATGTGAAATATTTCAAGGTAATTGCAATTTGACCTTCGATTTATTTGACAATCAGAGGTCTAATTTTTGCTTAACAGATTGGGGGATGAAAAAGGCACTGAACAGGGGGATGATTGATGAATTCAGTAATGACAGTAGAAAGGAAAAGACATTACCTTCGTTTTATCATATAAGGCATGATTATCCAACATCATTTTCCGCTCATGAGTGGCATATCTCCGCAGATCACGTTCAAATTGCTGCATACATATAAAATACTCAATGTTATTATAGCAAAGCCAAATTATCTATCACTATCTATCTAGTTATCTATTTAGCTAGCTAGCTAGCTATCCATCCATCCATCCATCCATCTATCTGCTTTGTTTTAATCTGTTGTAGCACTCTTTATTATAAACTTTTATTAATATACTATAGATATAAATTTAAGATAAATTGATATTGTCCTTCAACGACTTTTAAAATCCTAGAGTGAAGATGTTTCTAAGAGCTAATATTAAAGAGCAATCATGAGGAAGCCTGCTAGGTCCTCATTACTGCACACATAACCATAAGTAATGTGATATTTCGATATTACATTACACTTTTTTCTATAATGAATGTAGTCTGCAATTCTTACAAATTTTGTAATGGATGTTCACCCAGAGCTACTCTGTTGGATGTGCGATACTATATCACATTAGCTAGTATTGTCTTCCTGATAATTATAACTTTATAAGAAGAGATGGTTGAAGTTTAATTTAAACACATAGTGGATTCTATTTGCTTCTGCTCACAGAAGATGTCTGAGTGAAACAAAAACTGTTAGGTGCTTGCACTTTTCAGGAAGCATTACAGTTTATAATATATTTGTTGGTAGCTGCCTAGAGATTAGAAGCAACTGTCAAGGAAACACAAAATATAGAATAGAATAGAATAGAATAGAATAGAATAGAATATCTTTATTGTCATTGTGTATCTCATAACAAAATTAAGTACTGTCCACAGTGCACACTACACACAAGTAAAAACCACAAGTAATATTAAGGAGTCAGTGCAACCTTCAGCAATATTCAGAAGTAAATATCATTGAGTTAAATAAGCTTACTCTAAAGGTAATATATAAATTACAGTTATAGTTTACCCTTTCTAAATCTCATTCAACAAACCTGGCTGATTCTTTACTGAAAACACACTTCCCATTCTTCTCACCATCTCAGTTTTATCATTTTAGGGAGATAGGAAGATATGAACTAAAGATTATTTAAAAATATATATTCTGCTTTCCATATTTATTCTATAAAATCAAATTTCTATCAAATCAGAATGCAATAAATGTTTAATTCAAATGTTGTAATGAAGTCTTCTACAAAATAAGTGAATTAATATTTGGATTTTGCTTTGTTTATTTAAATTTTTAAACCCTGAAGTCTTCTGCTTATTAAAATTATATTTTATTTTCATGTTTACTGTAGAGTTTTTACACTTCTATGGCCTGTTTTTAGAAACTAGTTTTAAAAAACAGAAGAAAGAAAACAAAAAGACAAATGGATTTTCAAGCACGTTTTCTCTTAAACATAACTGTTATTTTAAAGTTCCCATAGCTGAAGAGAAAGGTTTTGAAATATTCAAGTAAAGTTTCCTAAAGGAGGGGAACAGATTGATGCATGACCTAATGATTCTTCATATGCTTAAGACATTCAAATTCTGAAAAAAAAAAGTAAAGTGTCAACATAGGTAACTGATGTCAGACCTGGATTTTCCTGTGTGCAAAAAAAAAAAAAGTTGCTATTTTTCCTCCAGTGAATTTTGTATTTATAGCTTCTCTAAAATACTGAAACTGGATTGGGAAGACCAGAAAAGATTTATGGGGGGGGAAATAATATTTTACCATTTCTTGATGGGTTTGAAAGAACTCTATTAGACAGAGCAGAAGAACTGAAACAGTTGATGATCCTTACAGAGAACAAGATGGATTACAGAAACCACAACCTGTAAAGGATACTGTTTATGTTGGAATGTTCTAGTAAGAGTAGAAAGGGGTGAGCTTGGAGCCCTTATTGGTATGTAGAATTTAGAAGGATTGGGCCAGAACATCTTAAAGTTACCCCATGTTGTTAACAGATGCTGCATTTCAGCTGTAAAGATCAGAGTATGATTATTATGGCTTTCTGAATCATTTCTATGTTACAGTTCTGGGAGAATATAATCCATAACCTTGATTATAGTATTTCAGGGCTCTTTTGTAATCTTGTGGCCAGGACTACAATGATCACTATAGTTGTGCCTGCCAATAAAAGATACTTCATTATATCTATCAAAAAATGCTTTGTTTCCTTGTTTGAAGTAGGTATTTTTTCCACAATAGTTTATAAAACTCAGTTGGTGCCCTATACTATTTTTCCACCTATCCAGGACATAAAGTAGCACTGTACCTTTCAGAAAAGAAACAAGGAGAAAATTAATATACAAGTGATAAGCCAAAGAAATGAACATTTTTTTCAGATGTAAGGTTCTGCATGGTATATTGCTTTATACAAGTTAGGATAGAAATATAAACAGGAAGAAAGGAAGTTATTTACCCTAGATCCAGTCCATCCTAAGAGAGCAAATGCATAGTGTTCAAAAGGGGTAACAACCAGATCCACACGAATTGCTTTCCAGTCTTTTGTTTCTTCTTCAGCGAAAACCTTTGATCTGACAGCACTTCCTTTGTTCACTCCTTCCTTATGGACTTTTAAAATTGCAAAGCACTTCTGAAAATGGTCTAAAGCATCGACTTTTCTGCTTGGCAGCTTTGTATTTTCAAATGTTGATTCAATAAGATCATAATATAAGAGCAATTCCTAGAAGAAAACATATTTCATATATTATTATTTTGCTGAGAGCCAATGTGAGGTGATTGTTTGCATTAAGTCATCCTCAGCATGAAGGTATCTTGCGTGACTTTGGATCAGGCACTCTATCTTAGCCCTTGGCTCCTAGGACTGTAGTTGTGCAAAAAATTGGAGGAGGAGATGATATTCCACCTTGCCATAAGCAGCTGAAGGCAAGGTAGAATACCAACAAATTAATAAAATAAAGAATTAATTATGTTATAACTACATTGTTACTTTAATTATCTAACCCATATGTTTCAGAGCATATGTATATCCCATAGCAGTTTATTGCCATGTGGGATGAAAAACAATCATTTGCAGACAGCCATAAGTCTAGTGCATATACCTTTGGGAGGTCTTGGATTCAACAGAATTTCCAAAATACGTATTGCAAAGAATCTTACTGGTTGGGCAAAAGAAAACATTCCTATAACATTGTCAGCATTCCCTAAATAAATATGAAGCTGGCAACAAAAGAATCACATTGTTATCCATGGAGGCTTTTGATAATCATGTGATTTATGAACAGTGGTTCTAAGCTATTATTCTAAGAATTGGAGCTTTAATAACTTGAGAGAAACAATTATTATAACTGTGCTAAAATGTTTTTTTTTTTCAGAAATTATTCACGTATAACCTTTCATGTTTTGATGGGTAGAAGCTTTCTACTTGAACAAATATGAAACTCTTCACAGTGCGGAATGTGATCCTAAGTGATTACACTCCAAATCAAACATTAGAATCTCAAAAGACAACACCTTTTGATGTAGCAGTCAAGAAAATACAGTATTTTTCTGCATCAGTAGAAAATAATGTAGAGCTTACAAGATGAAAAAATAAGTCCATAGTTTATCATCAAAGTTACTCAGCACATTATAGGATTATATGTAGGACAGCCTGGAGTCTTAAGCCTTTAATAGCAAAGATTATATATGCAAAAATGTTGAAAATAAAGTTACTAAATATTAATAGCTAAGATTCATATTACTCCCACATATCATAATTCAAAAAACAATGGTATATTTTTCTAATAACTGAACCAAAGCTTCTCTCCATGTTTTTCATATGTGAAATTTAGAAGAAAGAATACAGATTGCCAAATACTGTATCAGTAGGCTGGCAATCTCCACTATTCCATTACAGTATGCCTACGAAGCTTGCATGCTATAAATACTTATAGCTTTCAGCATAGAAGGTGTCAAACTTAGACTAGGGATATTAATTAAAAATTAGTGCTTATTTTCTGTTCCAGTGGAACTTCCTGAGTATGTGACAATACGCTGTACATACTGCTTAGTTGCTAAATTTCAGGCAATAGCGCGTTGGCTTGAAAGGAGAGTCTAAGTTAGAGATTCTAGCATGCATAGCGCAGCAACACCATATTTGGGGGAAAATTGAGTTTCTTTTTTTCCTAAGCCTAATTCTTTTATGGCAAATGACTACTGTCTTTACCAAAAACAGAGAATGCTGAATGTGGGATGAGCATATTTATGACTAGTAACCTTGTCTACTTCTTCATTCTGTTGAAAGTGTTATGCGTCAGACTTGATTAACCAAATCCATGATAGGTGATAAGCCAGTATTATGGATCTGCTGATGATAACCAACTTGGAATATAAAAGAAGATACAAATTAAGAAGGGAAAGGAGGAAAAGGTTATGTGATCAATTGTTTGTTTGTTTGTTTGTTTGTAAGAGAAAAGGAAACCATGTGAAAATCTGAATGAAAGCAGCCTTATTTGTGGGCTCCATTTGAAGACAAAAATATAGATAAGACTATGAAGTTTTGATTATGAATGAAAGAACCAAAGCACATGTCACAAAGAATCAATTGGTGTCATCTAGATTGCAACATGTATGGGTAGTCCTCAACTTACGATGACAATTGAGCCCAAAATTTCTGTTGTTAAGTGAGACATTTGTTAAGTGAGTTTTGCCCCATTTTACTACCTTTCTTGCCATAGTTGTTAAGTGAACCATTGCAATTGTTGTTAGTAATACAGTTATTAAGGGAATCTGGCTTCCCAATTGACTTTACTTTTCAGAAGATTGCAAAAGGGGATCGCATGACCCCGGGGCACTGCAACCGTCATTAAATGTGAGTCAGTTGCTAAGCATCCGAGCTCCCGATTGGCACTTGCAGTGCACCCCCGGGCCCCAGGGGGCACCACGTGCAACAATCTGGAGCTCAATTCTTGGCTGCAGAGGCCTTTTCTGAAGGCCTATGATGGCGAAACAGAGGCCGAGGTAATGCACACAGCCACAGAAGAAGTGGCCAGTGATGCGAGGCAGGTGTCAGGGCATGGGAGACCTGGCTGCAACAGTAAGCAGGTACAGGGTGCATGGGGCAGCTCCCCCCCCATCCCCATCCTAGCTTTATTTTTAGGCATGCGCTTTGCCCCAAAACTAGGGGTTTTTTTCAGGGTAGGTCTTATTTTAGGACAAGCACGGTACCTATATTAAGAAAGACAGAATTCATAGGATGATATCAGTTGCATGTTTTGTTCAAATGAATCATTATAATGAAAGAATCAGGGGAAAGTTTTAGAGAAAATGGTGCACCATTCTGAATGCATGTGATCCGGGAAAAAGATTGTTTTGCTGGGTAACAGAAATGCATGGGTCGAAGCTGGATGAAAAAGAACAGAAAATTGATAGGGCATTTAGAGATCCCAAGAATGAATGAGAATGGTGATGTTTGCTGGCTATCTATTTAAAAAATGACTGCTTGTTTGAAGACATTGTTTAAGCATAAATCTATTCTTGCATTTACAAAAAAATACCTGAATTGAAGATGAAGCATGATTAAGAATTTAGGATACAGGACTGAGAGAATTACTGAAGGATTACAAAGGTGATGAGATATTCTGAATCTAGGACAGATCATTTTTTGATAGTGTCAAGAATGAGACTTGGGGAAAATGTACATGGAAGAACAGGAAAGAAATGAACAAAAACAGAGTGAATGCTGAACAATTGGAAAAAGTGAAAATGCAGATATTATATGGAAAAGTGGTAGATGGTAGGTCACTGTTCCAATAGAATGAAGAGAAGAGGTGTCCTCTCTTATGCACAGAATAGGGTGGAAAATATGCTACAGAAGTGTATGGAATTACATCAGTGTGAAATATGAAAGAGAATGCTTGGCAGACTGATAGTGGGGGAAAATGATAGATGGGTGTAAATGAGGAGGGGGGAAAGCACATAAAAGAAGAACTTCTGAAAAAAATGAAGATCAAAGAACAATATTGTGCAATGTGTATATAAAGAAGAAGATAATTGCAAAGAATGTAGTCAAGAGAGCAAGGAACTGTTAAAATTAAAAGAGGCAGAGAAAATGCAGAGCAATGTCAATGAAAAGTAAGAAGGAAAAAAGAAGAGAAATATTTTGGAAGTGGATGAGGAGAGACAAGCATGGAGCCCCTAGCAGAATAAGTAAAATAAAAAAATAAAAAGGACGAAATGATTTGAGATGAAATTGAAGCAAGAGGATGCTAGAAGGACTATTTTAGAGATTTGTATGAGAATGCTCATGATGTGTGGAGGAATGAAACAGAAATGAATGCCATAAATCTTAGTGTCCAAGAAAAAATATATGAAAATAAAGTCATAAAAGCCTCAAGAACGTTGAAAAATGATAAGGCTCCATGTTTAGAAAGCATAATTGGAGAAATAGTAAAAAATGGATACATTTTGCTTATGGAGTGGCTGTGCAATTTGTTTAATGTATCTCTGAAGGCTGCATCTACGCCTGATTTTTCCCCCCATGGAAATAAGTGTGTGTGTGTGTGTGTGAAGGTGTAGGTGTAGGTGTAGATATAGGTATAGGTATATTTGTGTGTGTGTTTATATATGAGTGTGTGTATATAATCATATACAAACTCATATACATACACACATACACATACACATATACATATACATATACATAAGGAATTAGTTTGTTAAAGGTGCCAGGGAAGGTCAAGGCAGAATTCTGATTGAAAGGCTACAGAAGGTGACAATGTGCAAACTCTGGAAGTGCAGTCTGGTTTTTTGCCAGGCAGAAAATTTGCAAGCCAGATTTTTGCTCTTCAGCAGACCATTGAGAAATAAATGGATGGGAGAATCACAGACTTTTTGAATATTGATAATTTGTATTGTTGGATGAGAGATTCAGTGATTTGCTGCAAATATTAGATAAAAGGTACCTTTTGACTAGGAATATTAATTTGAAGGTTGAGGTATCAAAAACAAGATGGTTGTATTTGACAGGAAAGAGTGATATTCATATTCAAATGATGAAAAACAAGAAAAGTAGATGGTTTTGTATATTTTACTCAAATGTTTATTAAAATGGAAACATGGATAGAGAAATTATTAAAATGGAAATCGAAAAATGGATGGTAAATGTGATTAAAAAAAAGAATCAGTGGTAGGTGGTTGGTTGCAAGTTATGAATGTTTATCAAAATAAATGAAAACTTCTACCAGTAAAAATATTTAGAATTTGGTGGGAGAAATAAACTAAAGTAAGGATTGTAACAGGATCGATAAGACAATCTAAATGAATGGAAAGAAAAGAAATATATTAATATGATTATTATTTTTTAGGAATATTGGAAAAAATATATACTAAATTGTCATTTATTAAAACAACAAGAATTGTGTTAACGCAATGTCTGCAAAAAAGATGTTTCGGGGAAAGAGGAAAGTAAACAAAATTAATATATGGAATATAGACTAGAAATTAATTGTTAAGAACTATTTTTACAAATGTAACCCAGACATCACAATGTTTACCAACTATTGAATGACTTATGCTTGTGTAAAAAATAATAAAAAATATAAAAAAGCGATAGGTGGATAAGTCAAGAGAAACATAAAAGTCAGTTGTACACAATGAGAAAGGATATTTATGAAGAATATGTGATAAAAGAAGCAGAGACAGGGTCCAGAATGATTGGGTGCTGAATGTATGTGGATTGAT